ATATATATATATATATATACATATATATACCTGTGTGTGTGTTTCAGTGTGCGTTTTCATATATGGTATGTGAGTATATTTTTGTATGTGTGTTTATATGTATTTGTGTGTGTGTATGTGTTTATATGTGCGTGAGAGAGTGCGTTTGTGTGTGTGTGTGTGTGTGTGTGCGTGCGTGTAATTATATGTGTGTGCGGCAGAGGGTGTGTGTGTGTGTGTTTCTGTGTGAGTGAGAGATATAGAGTGCGTGTGTTTCTGTGTGCGTGAGAGTGTGTGCGTGTGTTTCTGTGTGTGTGGGAGAGTGTGTGTGTTTATGTGTGCGTGTGTTTCTGTGTGTGTGAGAGAGTGCGTTTGTGTTTCTGTGTGTGTGTGTGTTTATGTGTGCGTGTGTTTCTGTGTGTGTGAGAGAGTGCGTTTGTGTTTCTGTGTGTGTGAGAGTGTGTGCGTGTAAGAGAGTGTGTGCGTGTGTTTCTGTGTGTGTGTGAGAGAGAGTGCGTGAGTTTCTGTGTGTGTGAGAGAGAGAGAGAGAGCATGTGTTTCTGTGAGAGAGAGTGCGTGTGTTTCTGTGTGTGTGAGAGAGAGAGAGAGAATGTGTTTCTGTGAAAGAGAGAGAGAGCATGTGTTTCTGTGTGAGAGAGAGAGAGCATGTGTTTCTGTGTGAGAGAGAGAGAGAACATGTGTTTCTGTGAGAGAGAGAGAGAGCGTGTGTTTCTGTGTGTGTGAGAGAGAGAGAGAGAGAGCATATGTTTCTGTGAGAGAGAGAGCGTGTGTTTCTGTGTGTGTGTGAGAGAGAGAGAGAATGTGTTTCTGTGAGAGAGAGAGAGAGAGCGTGTGTTTCTGTGTGTGAGAGAGAGAGCATATGTTTCTGTGAGAGAGAGAGAGAGAGAGCGTGTGTTTCTGTGTGTGTGTGAGAGAGAGAGAGAATGTGTTTCTGTGAAAGAGAGAGAGAGCGTGTGTTTCTGTGTGTGTGAGAGAGAGAGAGAGAGCATGTGTTTCTGTGAGAGAGAGAGAGAGAGAGAGAGAGCGTGTGTATCTCTGTGTGTGTGTGAGAGAGAGAGAGCGTGTGTTTCTGTGAGAGAGAGAGAGAGAGACAGAGCTTGTGTTTCCGTGAGAGAGAGAGAGAGAGAGCCTGTGTTTCTGTGAGAGAGAAAGAGAGAGCGTGTGTTTCTGTGAGAGAGAGAGAGACAGAGCTTGTGTTTCCGTGAGAGAGAGAGAGAGCGTTTGTTTCTGTGAGAGAGAAAGAGAGAGCGTGTGTAGCTGTGTGAGAGAGAGAGTGTGTGTTTCTGTGAGAGAGAAAGAGAGAGCGTGTGTTTGTGTGAGAGAGAGAGAGAGACAGAGCTTGTGTTTCCGTGAGAGAGAAAGAGAGAGCGTGTGTTTCTGTGAGAGAGAAAGAGAGAGAGAGAGAGACAGAGCTTGTGTTTCCGTGAGAGAGAGAGAGAGAGCGTTTGTTTCTGTGAGAGAGAGAGAGAGCGTGTGTTTCTGTGAGAGAGAAAGAGAGAGAGAGAGAGACAGAGCTTGTGTTTCCGTGAGAGAGAGAGAGAGAGAGCGTGTGTTTCTGTGAGAGAGAAAGAGAGAGCGTGTGTTTCTGTGAGAGAGAGAGACAGAGCTTGTGTTTCCGTGAGAGAGAGAGAGAGAGCGTGTGTATCTGTGTGTGAGAGAGAGAGAGTGTGTGTTTCTGTGAGAGAAAGAGATGTGTATCTGTGTGAGAGAGAGAGAGAGTGTGTGTGTGTTTCTGTGAGAGAGAAAGAGAGAGAGAGAGAGAGACAGAGCTTGTGTTTCCGTGAGAGAGAGAGAGAGAGCGTTTGTTTCTGTGAGAGAGAGAGAGAGCGTGTGTTTCTGTGAGAGAGAAAGAGAGAGAGTGAGACAGAGCTTGTGTTTCCGTGAGAGAGAGAGAGAGTGTGTGTTTCTGTGAGAGAAAAAGAGAGAGCGTGTGTTTCTGTGAGAGAGAGAGAGAGAGAGACAGAGCTTGTGTTTCCGTGAGAGAGAGAGAGAGAGCGTTTGTTTCTGTGAGAGAGAGAGAGAGCGTGTGTTTCTGTGAGAGAGAAAGAGAGAGAGAGAGAGACAGAGCTTGTGTTTCCGTGAGAGAGAGAGAGAGAGAACGTGTGTTTCTGTGTGAGAGAGAGAGAGCGTGTGTTTCTGTGAGAG